TTTTTGGGGCCGGAGCTGGTCGTATCTTGAAAATTTCGTAAGTAGGGGCGTTCGTAAGTAGAGGTAATTTTTTGGGGCCGGAGCTGGTCGTATCTTGAAAATTTCGTAAGTAGGGGCGTTCGTAAGTAGAGGTACCACTGTATTTTTCATTTCCATCCTATACACAGATCAAAAGCACTATCTTTCAAACTTTCCCATTCTCTGAATGTTTTGCTGCAACTCCACAGTTTAGGAAAGAAAATATAAAAATAATGCATATATTTTGGGGAAAGGTACAAAAATCTAGATTGGGCAAAATTATACCCCCCAAAAAGTTTGAACAGTAGATGTTCAACCTTCCTTTTTCTCCAAATCTAAGAATGGCACAGAGGCAGAGTGACCCCAGCTCAATCAAACACACAGAGGAGCAGCTCATCGATCCCCAGATAGCACCTTGTGAAAGGGCCTAGAGCCAGCATGAGAAGAGGGAACCTGAAGGCCTCCTCAGCATTACCCATCAATGATCAAGCCCTCATATGGAGCCTTCTTGTCACAGACGGGGCAAGTCCAGGTGGGCTTCTTCTCATTCATCTGAAGGTAGAGGGCTGCGTCGAAGCACTGGAGGTGGGTGCAGGTAAAGGCACGGCAGGGAACGATCAGCCTCATCTTGCCCAGCTGGAGGTGGGAAAGGGATGGGAAGGGTGAGTTGCCTGGGAAGGACAGAGAACCCTGCAGTGGGTGTCCCCCAAATCACTACCTGAAAGTGCAAGTGTGCCTGTGCACGAGAGTTCACCCTCACCCGTCTCCAAGAACAGCTGTCTGGAAAGCATGAAGCTTGTCTGGAAGGGCACCCACCTGCCCCAAGAAAGCATAAAGCAAGCAGGGTCTCAGGGAACTGTCAGGATTTTCATTCTCATGGGAAAGGATTCATCCCGTTATCTTTACAACAATAACAAATAATATTTTGACTACAGAGATCATGTGAAAAACACCTGTTATTGTGTGTTGTGTATTGTGCTATTTACTATATTTTGTATGATATTTGCATTTTATGGAATTTTGCATTTTTATCAATAAACACCAGTTAGTATATATTTATCAATAAACACCAGTTAGTATATATTTATCAATAAACACCAGTTAGTATATATTTTCTGACTGGATTTCTTTGGGAAACAAGAAATGGACATTGCAATGTGTTTGCTTTCATGGCTAATATTTTCCTGGAGTTTTTGCTGTGCTCTGCACAAACAGGAGTGTTTGTGATTATCACTCTGCCCGACAGGAACATCCTACCACACAGAAGGGAGGTAGACTTCTGGACAATCAGGGCTTTGAAACCTGTGGGAACAGCCAAGCCCCCTCCCAACATTGCATCATCACCCACACTCACGTTCAAAGTTTGGTATGTGCTCACCATCCCCAAAATGTTGGGAACTCCAGCACATTCTAGTTACAAATCACATCAAGACCTAAGACCCGATATCGTTTCTTTAGCTTGGTATGCTCTGCAAACTTAGCCATTCTGGCCTACAAACAACAAATCATTGCTTAGCCCAATGCTGGGCCCAACCATTGTGGCTGGTGAAACATGACTAATGGCTGGGTTTCACCATTCCTAACATGGTCAGAGGGGCAACCCACGACCCTTTGTCTACGCATATTCCTCAGCACTGAAGAGATTTGGCAGCAAAATGGGCCAAATGTATTTCTGGCCCCACCCCCAAATAAATGGGAAATTAAAAGCGGGAGGCACCAGGGAGGCAAAACACTTGCATTTCCACTTTTAAACCCCTCAACAACCCCCCTCAAAATAGCCTGAGACCATTCCTCCCCAGTTTTGCTGCTGAATTTTAGTGGCACAATTTTGACCCCATTTTATGTTTGGTTTTTTTCTAAAGGGCAGAAATGAGCATAGTTTGCCATCTACCCTCTGCCTTAAAATGTAAGAAAAAGAAAAAGAAAAAGAAAATAGGCTGGAAAACAAACAGTGATTCAAAGAAACCATGGCTTACTATGTTACGTGAAGACCAGTTTCAAAATAGCTCTTGTTGGGCAGAGAGGCAGGCCTTATGTGATCAGGAGCCCTTACCATTAACACATTTCTGCTCACCCTGCTTGACTTCCCAAAAATTTTGAGTGATTCCCTTTTCCCTTTCTGCCTTCTCCTCCTGGCCAAAATAAAGCTCAGAGAGAAGTTTCGCCTCACTTGCTCCCTTCCCCAATATATAGGTTTCTGGGATGGAAAACAATCCAATTGTAAATGCATTTTATGGGGGTTCTCTTGGTATTAAGCAAGTAAGTCTTTTTTCCAAACCTTAAGAAGACCAACAGTGAGCATCGTTATTAGACATTACCGGACACATGAGCGACACTCGTAAACTCGTGGTGGCGATCTCACTGTCTGGATCAGCTGTCAGCTTCTCTTTTACTGCAGGGAGAAAAAAGCTCTCTTAATACTAGGCACAAATAACACCCAGAAGGGGAAAAAAGCATCCATAGAATATTGACGTTCCTGAGTTCAATGGATTCTTAAAAGCAGATCTTTTTTCATTTCACACAGAAGTCCCAACAAAAGTCAGGACGCTTGAAGAGCAATCCTTTTTGAAATGTGCCCACCCCTAAAAGTTAGGCCTTTTACTTTTTTTTAATATGGGGGTCCACAGACACCAGTTAAGATATTGCAGGGGCTCTGAGATCCGCATTCCCAACCCTGATGTTTCCATCTTTATTTTTATGTTATTATTGTTGTCTTTGTTTTAATGTGTTCATCATTCTGATTTATGATTGTTGGGCTTTTACTTTCGTACTGGATATTTTAATTATTTATTCTGTGTATGCCACCAAGTGTTTTTGATTGCAATAGGATAAAAACATATTGCTTAGCTGTTCATTTCTGCTCCCGTTGTACATGCAAGAGAAACAGAAGCAAAAATGAAGGTGCAAAGGTTGGAAAAACTTTGGCCAACACACACTACATATTTGCACATGTGTGATTCAGAACTGATGCTGCTATACAGCTATCCCTGCAGCTGAAACCCAGAGCATGGCATTACCGAATTGAGATGGCCTGTAAGAACGGGCAGAAATGCAGGCAGATCCCTATATACTGCAGAAGTAAATAAATCGGCACGTCATGGGAAACCACCTTGCACGGATACCGAAGCTTGGGAGTAGGGTGTGGACAAACCAAAAATAAATCTGGTGTCTTAATCTTGGAATAAAACAGCCACAGGTGGGAAATTATGAATGTTCTGATGGAACAAAACACTTCAAAGGTTCCCCTTGAGAAAAAAAGGGAACTTGGAACAAGCCCTCTTATACTCTTATTTTGGACCCAAGGCTACAAAACGTTAGCTGCCATTCAACTGTTGCTCCCAATCTTTGCTATGGAATTTTTTTTAATGTTCTAAAATAGTTTCCCTGGTAAAATATTTCTAGCTTTAGAATTCTAGCATTCATCACACACTAATTGAATCTTGAGTCCCAAAGACAAAAATGAAAACGCAAGGGCTTGTTCTGGATTCCTATTACTCCTAAATGCACTGAAAAGAAACGTGGAACAAAACGCCCGACTGGGGGAAAAGCACGGGCTGTTTTGTTCCAAGCTGGGAAAGGAGAAACTGCCACTCCGTGCTTGGAGTACCTGGCAGCGGCCCCTCAGCTGGTACGAATCAGCTGCGAGACCCCCAAGGCCTGTTGGGGGCAGCTGGCTGCCACGATCCCCAGGCCTGCTGGGCCAAGACTCAGAGAACCGGGGACTCACTCAGGGCTCGGGAATGGTCAGGGTTCCGGATGCCTTTTGCTCTCAGTTTCTGCAGCAACGTCACCGAGGTCAGCTGCTTCACCAGGTAAACAGACAGGGAATAATTCTGGAGAGAGCAAAACCAGGATTATGTCACAGCCATGGAGAAAAAGAAATACATTTATTTATTTAAGTAAGAGACTTAGCTCTGACTCTCGCATGTTGGCTGATTGTCTATTCCCTGCTCCTTTCTGGCTACTGGCAGAATAACTGTGATGTTGCAGATTGTTAACAAATATTTAAACTGTGGAGATGTGAATGGTGAGTCATGGAACACTTTTTTGGTTTTTTTTAATAACCACTGCTAGGAAAGAAATAACACATCAGATCATCAATGAAATGGAACAGCTATGACATAAGGCACATGGCAAAGGGAAGGGGAAGTGTGTTGGCTATGTTGAAGGAACTACAGTTGGCAATTTAAGCACCTCTGGTCTGAACAACTGAATTCTCATGCTACGAAAACATCTGTATTCATCAGAAATGCACATTCTGAGGCACCAGAATAGCTCCAAGTTGGAATGTTAAATGTGACAGAGGAAGGAAGTATTATAACTATGTCAGGAAAGTAATACTCTTACATTAAATGTTAATTAAATATCATTTATATTACAGTGAAATATAATCAAGTTTGGTTTTTCTTTCCACTCCTCTTCAGTGGAAGGCTTCCTTGGTACACCATCCAATTGGTCCTCAAACAGAAAAGGGTGCATAGTCCCAAAGGGCACAATGTGTAGAATATGACCTCCAAGTTAGTAAGTAGCAGGGGTGTGAACAGAAAATTTCATGCAACAAACACGGTGCAGCTTGGAGGTTTGGCTGAACTTTCTGGGCAGACTGGGGCTTGACTGAACCAAAATCTGGAACATCCCAGCTGTTCCAAGTTTCAATAAACAACATCCGGAGGGGCAGGCTCTTCTCTCCAGTCCTCCTCTGTATGCCGTATTGCGCTGGACTGCTTGCTAATCTTCCTAGCACCTTCCCTTCCCTCCCCTTCACCAATATCGCATGCCACTGTCAATGGCTTAGTCCTCTTCCTGATTATCTCCCAACCTGAAAAACCTGTACCTGGAACATGCACATTTTGCTTTGTTCCTAGAGAAAACACACACGTTTCAGTCCAAGCACAGACCACCAGAAATTGGCTGTTCCACAAACAGAACAATTTGCACATGCTTATTAAATAGTTAAGAGTGCAAAACATAATGAAAATAATCCAGTGGCTTCCATTTAGTTCTTAGACCCTCTTGAAAGAGTTGGATTTAACCCTCCAAAGAAATCCAACACAAGGAATTTGAAATGGAGACTTTCTCCCATACAAAGCTACCAAAATGGTCAGCTAAAGTTCTCTTTTCAGAGAACTCACTTTCAGATATTGGTTGGGTTCACACAACCCAGTAAATCTCAGCTAACCAAGCATAAATTCTATATTCACAGAATGTGTTATGCCCAAACAATTACATTTGTAATTTTCAATATCGTAGAAGACCACCACTTGCTATTATTTCTTCCTCCTTCCTCCTTGAGGAAATTATGTTTCAAGAGTCAGGCCTCCATTCACATCCATGTCCCCAGTTTGCTGTATATGTACTTCATGGGCTCACCCAACACAGATAACCCTAAACCCAGGGTAACAAAACATCACTGCCACATTCACAAGATAGGTGATACCTAATCAAACCAAAGGTATTCTGTAGAAGATTCTGAATTTATATAAGTGGTATTGTATTTTGAGATCAAAAGGTCCCTTTGTGAAATTAAAACAACTCTTTCAAGTGTTGAAAAATTGTTCTTGCTTAAAACAATTATTTTAACTCACAAAGTGTTTTGAAATTGAGATGATTCTAATTCATAAACATTTTGCGCACCCCAGGTTCTGAATTCACACAATAGCCTGATTCATATAATCGGTGAAGACGACACTGGCTTTTCACAACACGCCGAACCAAACAACCCAACTCTACTCATTCTGTGCACTCCCGTCACAGCCATTTTGTGAGTGTCCCCACCACACGCAGGCCAGACCCGCCACGGTCCCAAGAGGCTATCCCCACTACAGCTCCAGAGCCATTCTTACCCTGCCAAACTCAGAAGACCAGTTCACCACAATTGTGTTGGGGACTGTGGCTGAGAGGCGCACCAAGGGGGTGATGTTGATTGGTCGACTGGGTCGCTTGGGCTCTGCGCCGTTCTTTGTGGGGGGAAGATAACCCTGCATTGGTAGAAGAGGACATCTGCAGTCAAGCCTACAGGCCTTGCACCGAGACTACAACAGGGTTGGCACCCTCATAACCAATTGCGTAGGCTGGGAAGATACTGTTTGCTTCACCATGGTTGGTTTGATAAACTACAATGGGCTAAGCTCAAACCTGCATTAAGCCACAAACACGCCACACTTTGGCTTGGTGTGATGTGTGGAATCACCATCAGCCATGGTCAAATATTCCATAAAGCCAAAATGTGGTTTTAAGGGAGGCCACCAGACTTGCAGGAAGACAAGCAATTAATATGTTCCAGATTAAGTATAAAAAATGAGTTGGATGAATAGAAATATTTACAGAAACTTTGGATAACTTGGCTAAAAGCATATTTTATTACCATGTTTTTAAAAACATGAGCTTACTCATAACTGACCAACTTGGTTCAGTAGCATCTTGATTATAAAAAGCACCTTAATATATTATAAATGGCTTAAACACTTCAAAGCCTAATTTGACCAGGCAGGGTTTGTTTGTTTATCTATTTATCACATTTATATAGTTGCCCATCTCACACAAAGCGATCCTGGATGGCGTACAACAATTGAATAAAATAACAAAAACAATCATTATAAAAGATTTAAAAAGTAATTATTAAAATGCAACACTATCAAAAACTTTAAACATTTCAAAATATACAAACCCCACGGAGAGAGCAGAGTATCAACCATAGCGGAGCCATCTAAGAATTGATCACTGCTAGAGCCCATTCACACAACACTCCCCAGGCCGCTTTTACAAGTCAGGAGGGGCATGGGTCTAGGGAGCAGGTAGCTGAGCTCACAGCTCGAAGGACCCTGTCCACTTCCTTGGGTCCAACAGATTCAAAACATTCCCAGCCAACTGGGCAAGACTCCACCCCAGGCAACTCCTCTTGACCTGCAACAACACTGGTGTCCAACTGTGACTCCGAGCAATTTTATCCGACAGATGCTGAGCAAATTCCTCTGCACGCCCCTGTAAAAGGTGTTCCAGGCCCCTTTTACCCAAAAGGGCTACAGGGCAGCAATCTGCAGACACAATAAGGGCGGAGGAGTACTGTCGCTTTGCCACCCTTACCACCACAAGATAGGCTTTAACAGCAGCTCTAACCCGTGTCCGGTTGAGCTCGACCTCAGTTGAGTGCCAGTGACGCTCTAGACATCTCTTCTCTCGTTTTATCTCCCTCAGCTCCTCCATAAACCACGGGGAGTGACGGAATTCACAGGAGGGAAGAGGCTGCATGAACGCAAACTGATCCAAGGCCTCAGCTGCCCCCTTATTCCAAGCAGCAACCAAGGCTTCGGATGGACCATACAGCAGACCAGCAGAAGGGACCCCCAGCTCCCTCTGAAACCCATCCAGGTCCATCAGTCTCCAGGGGCGGACCAATCTAATGGGTCCATCCTCCCTGCAGTGGACAGTGGCGCTAGAGAATCCCACTGTAATCAGGGCGTGATCTGACCGTGACAAGGGGGACACCAAAAGCTCCCCCAATTTCAGATCACATAGCCACTGCTCCAATAGGAACACCAAATCTGGAGTGTGACCACTGTCCCATGTCAGGCTCTGGAGGACCTGAGATAGGCCCATGGCCATCATAGTGGCCATGAACTCCCGAGCCACCTCCAATCCCACTCTGAGAGAAGGCAGACTGAAGTCCCCCAGAACCATAAATCTGCCAACCCCAAGATGGAGTCAGGGAGCTCAGGCAGGGAGGTTGCTATGCAGCAGGGAGGCTGGTACAACAGCAACAATCCTGATCGATTCCTGGAGCCCAACCTAAGGAATAGTCTCTCACATCCGGGGACCTGTGGGGCAGCGCTCCTGAAAGCCGTACAGGATTCCCAGATGACAATCACAACATCCCCACCCCTGCCCCAGAGTCTCAGCTGATGCCACACCCAAAACCCCATTGGACATATCTCAGAAAGGGCTACCCCCCACCTTCCGAACCCAGTTAGGTCTCAGTAATTCATGCCAGGTCGGCCCTCTCATCAATGATTAAATCATGAATGAGGGAAGATTTACTGCAGACCAACCAGGGTTAATTCATGCTGCACTAAACCTGACAGGGGTTGTATTTAGCACAAGGGCCAAGCGGACCATGATGGCTTGCTCAAGAAACAATCTGGGTTTGGGGTATAGAGACCCAAATGGGCCAAAAGTGACAGGTGCTGCCCTTCCTATTAGCAGAAAATGTTATCACATTGCAGGGGTATAGGTAATGCTGGTAACCTCTTACTAAAAAAAGCACTGAGAAATGCCTGACCCTAATCAACTGTGGAGAGCATAAAAAACCCAGAGCTCAGAATAAGGCGTGTGCATTTCCTTTTTTTTTTTTAATACATTAAGGCAGATCAGTTTAGGAGAGATTGAATAAATTAGGGCAGATGGGTTGTGTCAGGCCCACCTCCTGCAATTTGGTATCTATGAATGTGTTGGGATAGCAAGACTCAACCATCTCTGACAGTTTGGATCTGCAATTTCCGGAATTCCAAGATGCAGATGAAATGTTCCTGGGAACTGGAGTTCCAATCCAATAGGAGGGCACCATTTTCTTTATTACATTTGTGTCCCACTTCAATCTTTTTAACTCTCATGGCTTACAGAGTAGGAAACAAATATAAAACATCTACAGTAAGCTTAAGAACATAAAGCAAAGTATCATAGTGAAATAATAACAAAATAATAAATAAAACAAATATATAAATCTCCACAGGAAGACCATTCCAGAGGACTGGTGCTGTCATCGAAAAACAGCACCTCCTTGCTCCAGTTACCTTTATTTCCCAATGGGGGGGGGGGCAGGGATGTAGGAGTAGTAGCTAGTGCAGGACTTGTAGCAAAGGTGTAATATCCAAAAGATGGGAACCCATCAGCACACAGGCTGCTACATTCTGGACTAACTGCAGCTTCTGAGTGGTCTTTCAAGGCAGCCCCATAGAAAGCGCATTGCAAGCGTCTAAATGGGTGGCACAGATGGCAGGAGTTACTGTAGCCAGATTCTTTTGCACCAGTTGGGGCTGTATCTAGTGTGCCAGCCAAAGCTGTGCAAAGCCCTTCTAGCCATGGTACTTTACCAGCAGGAGCTGTGAGCCCAAAGGACCCCCAGATCGCCAACCTGCTCCTTAGGCATAGGGCCTGCTCGTCCAGAGATGCCAATGGAGAGCTTCAATGGAGAGCCAGGACTTCCATCTTGTTGGGGTTCAGCTCCAGCTTGTTCTGACCCTCCAGGCACCAGGAGAACCACCTCTCCCCTACAGCCCAGGGTGGTGATTAAAGTTGGGTATCTCCTACATACTGATTATACTGCACCCTGAACTGTTGGATGGCCCCACCCAGTTAAAGAGCAGGGGGAAAGGAGTAACCCCTGTGGAATCCCCTAACAAAGAGGCTACCTGGACAACCTCTCTTCCCCACCTACAACTGAGTGAGCCTGCCCACTGAGGAAGGAGCAGAACAATGCCTCCCATCCCCAGTCATCTTGGGGAAGGCTGAATCAAAACAGTGATCTACTGAGTTGGGGTTTGCCTCATCTGTCTGGATCATCCCAGTTGAACTATTCACTTTCAAGCATGGGAAATAGGGAGGGAAGAGGAGGAGAAGTCTACTCACGGGCAAAGGACAAAGCTTCCCATTGATTTTAACAAATAAATTGGGAGGGAAGTAATCCTCTTGTGGGCAGCTGGTTTCACATAAGCAAAACCTGTCAAGATACAAAGACAAGACCAGGGAGGTAAGTGGGGGGAAATGCAAAAAAAAGGCAGCTGGGAAGGACAGTTTGAGGCTCCTTAAAATTATACAGCTGAAATCCATTATGAAGGCACTGAACGGTAACAGCACAATAACCCTAACGCAAAAGACATGATTTGCTGACAATGTCAGACTGGGGGACTAAAATCGAGCAGTATGTAGAAATGGCAAAATTGACAGAATATATCCACAACAGAAGCCCAACTAAGTTTAAGCAAAAATGGTCCCTTACATACAATATATCACAGAGCAAGGCAGGTTTAGATATCTGAAATATGGTTTTTTGACTCAAATAGAAACTAGCAATAATTATTCATGTTAGATACAAAGTTCAAATATTTAAACTGTACCTGTGGTTGAGGATATAAATGGAAGGGGAGGGGAAAATGCAATTTATTTTTTACTTTTTTAACCATGGTTTTCTTTTTTTAACTTAAACATAGTAGTCTTTTTGTATTATCTTGTTTTTTTCTTTCTTTGTATTCCAATATTTGCCTTTTTCTATATTTGTATTTTAATATTTCAATAATACATAAATATATGTATATTTAAAAACCCTGTAAATATGATGGGAAATGAAGTGCCTGCTAAATGCCTAATACAGTTAATGTACTAGTAACAACTGAATTGGACACCCTCCCCCCATTCAACTATAAAAGCAGAGGGAATTCTGGACTCAGTCCCCCGGCAATGTCCGACCACTGCCCTGCTCTCTGTGGTCAACAGCATCCTCCCTACCACAGAAAGATTGTTCCCCGTTTGAGATTTTCTCGGTCAGGTTCCTTTGCAGGGACCCTCTGTTGAAATCAGGATGGTAATCATTCTGGACTGGGGAGAAAGAAAGAAGCAACTGACTACATCTTCTCAACCACACTGAACTTTGCATGTTTGCTATTGTTCGTAAAATAATGTTGCTCTATGCATATAGAAATCAATGGAGATGCTGTCCGGAACCGTGGAGCATCTTTGCAGAAATGGAAACCCAGGGACTAAAATCTTGCTTGCCCTTCCTAAAACTAAATGTTGGGAGAACAAGGTGGTTATCACACAGTTAAGGCCAGACCTTGCTCATCTGGTTCCCCAACCTTAAACCCATCAACCACAATTCCTTCTCTACCCAGCAAGGATAATGCAAGTTGAAATCCAACACATTTGGGGGTGTTGGGGGAAAATTAGGGAAAGGCAGACTCAAACACACAGTTCTTTGGGCAAAACTGACACTGAAACCAGAAATGGAATGGCTTTGTCAGCAGCTGGAGAATTGCTACTGTGATTACCCAAACGGCTGCTTGCTCTGCTTTATGTGACTAATTCAGAACTGACACTGAGCCCTCTGCCAGTGCAGAAAGACTTGGTAAAAGATGAGTCAGGATCTCTCCTGACTCTATAGATACAATAAGTATTTTGCTGCTCTTCAAAGACAACATTCTTTTAAGTTAAGCTCTTCTTACCTCAATTGTACCTGTACAGTATAATCACATTTGGCACCAGGTAAGATATCCCTGGAGAGGAAAAGGAAAACAAAAAAAATTAAATTTGTCTGGAAAAATAACAAAGCAAATGTTAGAATTCCATGTCTATGTACACATAAAAATTAGTCCTCTAGCCCACTAGATGAACTTCTGAAAAAACAGCACAGAATGCTTGTGGACATTCTGACAACCAACAGGTAGGGTCAGCCACAGGACGGAGCTAATCAGCACTGCTGTAAAGGAAGAGAAGGTGTGTTGACTTCCAGAAAGATGGGGAAAAATGTTAGTTTTTCCCTGTGGCTGTTTTGAAATTCCAGGGCCAATATTTAGTTTGAGAAAAATAAATGAATTAAGAACCAAAGTGAAGGAGTCCATAGAAGGTACTCCTTAAAAGGCAGTTGTGGTAATGAAACAGCAGGCCATTTCTTCTAGTAGCAACAGCACAGAGAGATACTCAAGGGATTTTGCAGCAAGCAAGCGGGAGCAGCAAGGCTCTCATTCTGGCCAGGACTGGCAGCATTGTGCCTGAGGGTTGCCCAGGCAGACTAACCACACACCCTTTATTATTTTTAAACATAAAAACAATAATAATAAAATGGCCTAAATGGCCTAAATTTTTCAAAAATTTTGAGGTATCTGATTCTAGAAACCAATTCTAAAACAATTATGACTCTTTCTCTGAGATTTTGTAAGAAATCTGCATTGTTCCCACATGGCTTTCAGAATAATTTTCCTCAACATGATGCCCTCCAGGGGGTTGGAGCTATAAATCTCAGAATCCACAGCCACTAGCCATTCTTAGATTTGCAACCTTTTTTTGCCAGTTTCTGGCAAAAAAAAACATCCATTAGGGAGCTGGATTCGCTTAATGACATGATTTGCTTAACGACTGTGGTGATTCACTTTACGACCATTGTAAAAATAGTCATAAAATCGGGTCTGGTCACATGGTGACTCGCTTAACAACCACCCTGCTTAACAACCAATTTTCCAGTCTCTATCATGGTTGTTAAGCGAGGACTACCTGTACAAGAACTTACAAGAAACACATTTTTAATTTTATTTATTTCACAGAGACTCCAGCTTGCGTGAAGCAAAGGCTAGAGACGCTCTCTTTCAGGCAAAAATTTCCATCTAATTCTTGTTCTAGTAATGGACTGGTCTGGTTCTCACTGCAGATTGGGGGTAGTTGCTTTTTCCCCCCTCATCTTGAGGAACAACATCCTCTGGAACAGGATCCCCCCAGACATATGCATGGTGCCCACTCACCTGAGGTTGTGGAAGGCCCTTAAGACCTGGATCTGTTCCCAGGCCTGCGATTAGTGTGTCTGTGGAGCCCCTGTCATGTTTTTTGATTGTATTGTTCTTAGTCCAGGCTGTCACATTTTGTTTCATGTTTTTAACTAAAACAGTTAAAATATTCAATATTGGATACTGAAATCCACCCAGAGTTTATTGGAGTGGGTAGCCATAATAAATTTAAATAAATAGATAAATTTACTGAAGAAGGCAGGCCTTTTCAGTGGTTGCCTCTCCTAGAGAAGCATCCCCAGTGCCAAGGAACGGGGGAAGGTAATAAAACAAAATACAGCCATATCCTTGGCTGTAGCCATGAAGATATGAAAGACAGCGCTGGCCGTGCCTCACCAGGGGGGCAATCACTATTGCTGTCATTTTTAAGCTTCAGTCACTGCTTTTTCTGTTATTTTATTTCTCATTTTATTCCACATGTTTATGTTTTAATGCATGCTTGAAGTGTTGTAAATTTTTACTTTCTAAATTTTATTGTAAACTGCCTTGATATTTTTTTCAACAAGGGGTATATAAATATTTTAAAATAAAAAAATAAAAGAGACTTATTTCAGCGGGGAAAAAAAGACCTCCTTACCTAGAAGTGAGAATCTGTTGCACCTGCTGAGGAGTGAGGGCAAAAGTGAAATGTGCTTCCTCAAACCTCTGGCTGTTCACTGAAGCTGCAACAAGAGAAACACAGCCCATTAATGCCTACCCATTGGATTTTGAGGGATGCCCAGAATTACACCAAGCCGGCCACCTTAGACATTCCCTTTGCTGCTATGATGAAACTGGTCACTCATGATGATGATAGAATGTAAGGGTTGGAAGGGATCTTCAAGATCATCTAGTTCAACTCTCAGCCCTCAATAACAGCATCCCCAATAGATGGTACTCCAGCCTTCATTGAAAGAAAGTTCACTCTTTCCCAGAAAGTCTGCTCCATTCTTGAACACCCCTTACGACTAGGAAATTCTTCCTTCCTTGTCATTTAAACCTCTGGTTTCTTGGCCTGTCTCCTTGAAAGACTCTGAGCAATTCTGCCTGCTTTCTACAGGACAGGCCTTCAGGTACATGAAAATGGCTAACCTGTCTCCCTGCAGTATTTTCTTCTCTAGTCTAAACATACTTCTAAGCATACCTCAGTTTTTATTTTCAGATTCCCTATAACCTTAGTTGCTATCCCCAGACACAGTCTGTTTTCTGTGTCCTTCTTAAAACGTGATGCCCAGAACTGGATGCAATATGTGCAGAATGGCGAGGAATAAGGACATATCTTGATTATGACACTCTACTTTTGCTGAAGCAGCAGAATTCTATTTGCCTTTTGGGCATCACCCTATTGGCTCATGTTCAGTTTGTGATCCACTGGATCCAACCCAGATCCTTTTTGTATCTACTGCCATCCAGTACAGTCTCCCCAATTCTCTCCTTATACATTTGATAGGTTGGGCTGAGAAAGAGTGACTGTCCAAAGGTGATTTAGACTGTTTCCATGGCTGAGGAAGGACTTGAATCTGCATCTCCAAAATCATAGTCCAGGACAGTTTGTTTTTGGGAGAGGGGACAGCCTGCCATTCTCTGGATGTTCTGAAACACCACCCCTGAAGAGTGTCTGTGGGAAGGGACGATTGTGGAGCTTTAATGCCAAACATCTGGAAGTCACCAGGCACCTAGTGCTGACCTTAGTTAGGATTTTTCAATAAGAGAGATAACAAGGTTTTTAAAAATTAGCTTAATTTGCATCTAATCTTCAGGCTGGGTTCATACCAAAATGGTTAACAAGGTCACAAAAAGACTTGGCAACTATATTCACACAACCTGCTAATTTGATCAGTTGTAAACTTGGGGAGTTTGGATGATTTAGCATCAGCCCATTTAGGCAATTTTTTTCCCAAGATATTATACAAATCCAGGGAAGAGGTTAGAACTAAGCACACAAAGGCCATGACTGTTTTCACACATCATGTTTCATATAGTTTCTGAATGATCATTCTAGGTTTACCCAATACATTGAATCATAAACCAATCAGCTGGCCTGGGTTCCCACAATATACTAAGCCACAAAAAGAAAATGTCAACCTACTCAAGATTTAAACAAGCTAAAGACTTGTGTTGTCTCACAGTCGCTGACAAGATTTATCAATTGATTACGCTTATTATTATCCTGCCTTTCAGGACACAACCCTCCTAAACTGGCTTACAAACAAGGCAAACAATTATAGAACAATGTTTATTTAAAACAGAGATCTCCATGATCTGCCTCATGAGTATTAGTGGCCCTGGTCCGGGAGGAAGGAGAGAATGCAAGCTGGAAGCTCACAAGCCCAAGAGCTAAAATGATCCAGCCAGCTAACCCCAGAGGTTCAATTTCACTTGAAAGAGACCCAGCCATGTACAAACTATCTGCGCCCAGCCAATTAACCTATTTCACCTAACTTGTCCTCCAAGAAAAAGTGGGAGAGAAAGAGTGGCTGAAAAAGCAAGCCTCTCCATTGCAGAACTCCCTGCCAAAGAACACACCATGCCACCTCTGTCACTGCCTGCCTGTCAATGGGAAAAGGGCTGCTGGTATCCTGAAGTCTTGCCAGGACCTTCCTGGTGAAACTTTATTTGGATATTTCTGGAGAAAGCAGACGGAGACCCTCTGACCCAGTTAGAGTGACTGTGTGCCATGAGAAAAACCCTTGATTACTTAATTTATTTATTTATTAATTCCTGCGTGCCGCTCTGAGGCAGGGTATAAATCTAATAGACAGATGTGGGACTGGCAGGAAAGGGCCTATGAAAGGGCAGGGCATGCCACTGTATATAAACAGAGAGCAAGCCCCACTCCATTCTAGTACTGAAGATGTTACCTAGCTGGGTAATGAAACGTTTGCAAGAAAACCACCAAGCTCAGAGAACCCCAAGGATTCCACAGCCTATGAATTTGTCCAAGCCCCTTTGTAAAGTTCTGAAACTGGAAATCTGGTCCACTCTTCGCTGAAGTGCCTCTCCCTGGGCATCAAAATGTTTTGTAGCCTGTAAAGAAAAGTCAGGCAGGCTATACCTGCCAAAAACTAAATTCCCACCCATGAGAGTGATAATATTTTGGCAGTGGAAGATAGCCAGCTTCTGATGGGAAACTTTTTCTAGCCTATCCACTCCCTTTGTTTGCTTGCACTGAGGAGGCCACCTATGCCCGCGGCCCTAGCCACAGCACTCTATTCTTCCTTTCTGCTGCCCTTGAAACCCTTCTGGCCATGACTACCAATAGCTAATAACCTGGAAGGCAGACTTTAAAATGGGTACATCACAGTAGGAAACCTGCAAAAATCATTCCCCACACCCATATGTGACCCCCCCAACACCTTGCAGCCCTCAGCAACCCTACCCTGAAATGTTAAGCACAGCTCAAGCCGCCGCACGGCCCACTCAGAACACTCACCCAAAGTGGTGGGCTTGATGAGTTCGTCATAGACGTCATAAAAGGGCAGGCGCCGCATCTTCACGTCTGGATGGACAGGGTGGATGGGAGGTGACAAGTGGGGCACGTCAGCCTCATGTTTGGGCCCCAGCATTGGCACAGGAGGCAGCATGCCGGCTGGCACTCCAGACGCCACCGCTCCATTGTCGTAGGGCAGGTGGCACATGGCGCCCTGCGTCAATGCCGTGGCCGAGGGCAGCTGCCCTGCCTGGAGGTGAAGCATGGATAAGTCCGAAGGGGTGAGGATCTTCCGGGGAAAGCGCCGCCGGTACAACTCCTTGATTTTCATCTGAACGGCGGAGCTACAACCTGACTTCAGCAACTGCAGCGCCTTGGTGAGCAGCTCATGCTTCCGCCCACTCTTGTTCCGGCCAGCAAACCCCAGAAGCACTTGCAGCTCCGAGACTCGAAAGCTCATAACCATGTGCTAGAGGAGAGAAGTAAATTAAATTACAATAAAACAGATGCTGACAGCTCTGGAGGAACCACCATGGCTACCTGACACCTTAGTCATGAAAAAAAAAGGAGCCATCCACACAGGAGAAACAGCAGGACAGTTATCCCAGACTAAGCAACTCCTGGACTGAGGACGGAGGTGGTCAATGTATCCCTAACTCCTACAATACCCCTATCTTTTTAAATGTAATTTTTAAAAAGGAATTTCTGCAAGGAAAATATTTCACCATGCACATTCAATTCAAACATATTATTATTGTTTAACTTGCGCATTTTCACAAGATAAGGAACCAAGAGGCTGTAGACCTCAAGGTATTATTGTGGGGCTTGAATACAATAAGACTCACACATCAAGCTCAACCACAGGGTGTTAACTACATCAGTTGGTTGGGCATGCAAACACAGTAAGCGAAATGTTAGCAACCTTTTCTCTCCCTCCTTTCAACATCCGATCTCAAGCCTTTTATAAATCATGGCTTATAAATCTCAGTGAGTGGTTCAGAAATCATGCTATGCTAAAATCAAACCAGAGTAGACTATCAGCACCTTACATCCTCCAGATATGCAATTTCAAGAATTTTCCAGACAAATGGCCTTGACAGGAATTATCGGAGTTGTAGACAGAATGCATCTAGAGGGTGGAAGGCTGGAATAAGTTGTGACAAATGAACAGCACCAGCAGTTGGAGCTGTTTGAAGACACTGTATAAACCAGAATGCCAAACTGGAGCTTCCAGGAGTTGGGGGAATTAAGGAAACTATTTTTCAGAGACAGAACTCACAGCTATGGAATGATGGAAGAGACGGAAGACCTGGTAACAGCAGAGGACCAACAAGAAAAGCAAAGGCAGGGTGGTAAGAGGAGAAAAAGAAATTGTGGCAGCAAGCCTTCTCCCCTTTCCTCCCAAACCTAGGTCAGGAATTGAAATCTGAAATGTTTGGGATAGTTTAAAACATCATTAATGGAATATTTTTGCTTTTCTACTGGAAAGACATTCACATTTTAAAGCAGGTTTTAAATAATTGGTGCTAGAACAAAATTACATCTGATATCAAGGACTGCAGCCCTGTGAAATTTGAGTGGACTATTAAAGAAATTCATCCATGGAGAAAGTAATCCAAGTACTGTATAGCTACAGATAAAGGAAGACAATCTAGAAGTCTGACAAGTTATTTTGCTCACAGAAGAGGGGCTATAATTTTTCTTAAAAGCAGTTTTGATCAGAATTAACTTGTGCAGAATAAGAGCGTATGTGGACACTAGGCTATGCAGCGCTTCAGATCTAATTTGGAAAAGACTCTTCAGGTTCCTGCGACGTGTTAAAATCCAAATCACCCATCTCCATTTCAGCCTCGCCTTGTGTCCTATGCAATCCAAACCTAAGTTATGTAAGTTCATGGTGTGATAAGAGCCCCCCCAATCTAACATTCTCTGGGTAGGCTGGTTGCATTGGTTGGGAATTACTCAAGGTGAAGTCCAACACATCTGGAGGGCAGCAGGTTCACTGTAAAGCTCCTGCCACTGAACTGGAGCCACATTCACTCAGCCTAATCTTTATGGGGTTATGCAAGAAGAAAATGCAAAGGAGGGAAAGTTATGCATGCTAGCATGAGCTCTGGGGAGAGAAAAGGGGATAAGTTATTATTCCTTGGCATAAAATTGAATACAAATCTAGTTAATCAGATAATTGAATTTAGCTGCATCTTACTTCAATTACTTGCAGCCTCAAAAACAGGCATTTTTACTCCCACTTAATTCAACAGAACCCTAAACTAAGTGGACAAAGATGTTTTTATAACAGAGGTAAAACCAAACACCCATGAAGTATATATCAATCTTCACATATATTACCTTACAAGAGGTTTATTTTGTGAATTTTTCCCCCTCTCCAAAGATAAAGATTATCCTGCTTTTGATAATCCCAGAAACTATTTTGCTTAAAAGCCCAGAAAATAAGCCCTCTGTTTTTCTTCTATAGGATGGGCACCTTCACTCCACTGAGCCATTAAACTCTTGGACCAGTAAGACTCAACATGTTCCTGCAACATACTGTAATTTTAAAAACAAGGGAAGAAATACCCAAACATCCCTGAAAAACCCAGGTGTAAAAGAGGCCCAAATTCAGGCCCCACTGCACTATCACCATTCCCAGTCCAGCCCTTGACACCAAAGGGTGCCAAGCAATTATATCTGTTATCATTATTCCCAGAATCCTAACAGAGTTATCATTTCAAAAACTTTAAATGGAACAGCTGGAACATTATCAACTTTACATTTTTAACATAGTGCAGAAAGAATTTGGCTTATTAACAGATTAGGAGCATCATTTGTCCTTGTAATCAAAAAACATTGCATGCACCTTCAATTATTCCTAATATTTTCATTCTTTTTCCTATAGCACAAACACACACACAGCATACTCAGGTTCTCTCCATCACGTCATGCCTCTAGTTCCCCCCTACCCCGCCGCTGAGGCTTGGTTGAGTCAGCTTTAATGCCTTCAAGATCTATGTTTTGCCAAGATGGACACCAGAACTCAGTAATGGGAAAAAGAGACAGGTTCAGACTTTGACATGTCTGGAGGCTTACAGGTGGCAAACAATGGAAAAGACCTTTCTGTGCATCATGAATGAATTCTCCTTTATATGAATAAAATTTAAAATTATTGCATCTAGAAAACCAGCATGTCATTGGAAGTGTTCATTTTCATTTTCTATATGCAAGGAAAGATGGCTTAAATATTTGGACCAGTAGTTTGTTGGGTGTGCATGGTCAGAATAGCTAATTTTAGCTAGGGATGTATCAGCAGACAGCAGCTCGTGAGTTAAGAAGAGTTGGGCCTGGCTAACCCTTGGGTGGGAGACCATCAGGAGCTTCCGGACTGTAGGCTTGACTGGGAAGTCAATAAACCTCCTGGAAGCAAATAACTTCCAAAATGTTTCCAAGAAAACTGCATGGAGTTGCATGTCAAGGACTCAAGCGCATCTCAAGCTTTCCTTCACTTGGTGCTGTTCAGGAGATAGAATTACAATTCCCAGAATTCCAAGGTAGTATTCTGGGAATTGTAGGCTCAGCCCACCTGGAGGATTCTGAATCAAGAAAGGCCAGGTTAGATGGAGAAGCCGTCTGACTGAATAGAAGTTTGCTTTTAAATGCTCAAACCTGTTTCCAAGCTGTTTCCTCTTCTGGATCTTAAATGCTGATCTGAAACATTTATTTATTTATTTGGACTGTTATTACCACCCCTTTAAGCAACTGTGTGTGGCTAATAAATAAAATAACAATCTATAGTGAAACTCAGCATCCTCAGATCAAGGTAAAATAGCTAAAAATGGCTGCCCTCTCACTAGCCATTTGGATCAAATACTGGCTTGCCTTTGGAGCTTTCCAGACTGTCAACAGCAAAGGGGCTGGCATGCTGGAGCCACCACAGAAGAGGCCTGGCCCATGTCCATTTCTCACAATGATGGGACCTTAAGGAAGCCCTCTCTCAATGCGGGCAGAATCATTCTAGATAACATCAAGCAAAATGTCCAATCACTGGATAGAGCACTCCTTAATACTAATAAAATAAACCCACAGCAGCTACAAAATTGATATGCTGGGGGGCATTCCCTGCTGGGGGCCAAAACAACCTGATTCCAAGAAAGTTCCACTTCTGCCATCATGTAAAGTTACATGAAGCACCTAAGGTGTGACTAAACTCTGCTTTAGAAACCACAACCTGCTAAGCCAAACCACACCAACACAATCCCTGGCATGTTTGCAAACTATAGTTAAAACAACATTGGTTCTTCTTTCATCCAGTGCCCACATTTCTGCAAATCCTTGAGTGGCCTCCTAGTTCCCCTATCCTATTTCAGTGGAGTCCAGAACCAGCCTTAAAAACAATTAATGTACCTAAGTGCATCAGTTTGAAAGTGAAGATCCTCAGGGCAGGGGGCTGCTTTGGTCCTCTATAAAGGTCCATCTGCCCTAACAGACCCCTGGAAATTATTTCCCGCAATTATAATCATAACAGTCCTTCTGAAGGCAGGCAATCCTATCTCTCGTACACATAAAAAGCTACTTTTGGGCTATGCCATCAGCTTTGAGGGAGGGGGGAATGGAGCCCAACTATCAAAGATTTGAAAAACACATGGAGAAGCCAAAAACAGTGCTATGAACTGTCCAGCTAAGTGATAAAATGGAAGCGAAGCGGTTAAACGGCGAGCTTCTAAATAAAACGTCACAGCTTTGTTGGTAGTTAGACACCATGCCTAGTTCACACGTTGTTCCAAGGCATGTTCTAAACATGGCCACTTGGCTTTTCAGTGGGAAAAGAAAACAGGGATGCGTAAGGTAGAAAGTATCCCTATAGGGAACACCAAACAGGGAAAAAATCTTATGCAAATTAGCATAAACATAATTTGCATAGGCTGATTTTCACTTTTGGAAAACTAATACAAATTATGCATTGCGGATTAATCCAATTTTCGTAGGAAAATTTGCATAATGCAGTTTTTTTTTCTTTCAAAAAACAGAACACTGGAAAATGTTCCTTCTCACATATCTCCAAGCAGGTGATGCGCATTCAACCATACAGTACTGCAATATTTTGTCCTAACAGTCATTGGCTATATTGACATATAATCCTAAGGCAACATTTTTATCATTACTTGCTGAACAAGCCACAAAGGTCCAAGATGACACATCACACTGAGCAAAAAGCAAGGAAATCCCATTATGGCTGAGTGGAATGTTTACATCTACCCACTGACTCAACATAGATTTTGGACTTTTTTTCCTCATGGTCAATGCAGCTTTTAAAATTTGGAGTATCTGACCAGAACAATCATTAACAGTACAGAACAGTAACCCAAGAGGGTTACTGAAACAATAACTTGGACTGGAGCTGGTTAGTACTTGGACGGGAAACCACCAGAAAATTCAAGGGGATATAAGCTCGACTGTGAAGTTGAAAAAGTTGAA